GTAAAATTAGAAGACAGTTTTTCCGAGTGTAACTCTTTCGCTTCAGTTTCTACTATATTGTTTCGGCCGGATTTTGTCAGTGGGCGCAGCCGAATATACAAAAGATTTACAAATTTACCTTCGTGATGGAAAAGATAAAATGAGATTTATATATTTAAAAAGGCCAGAAAAAAAACAGAGAAAAAACGAAAACAAAAGATCGACACACACTTTACAGCAACGTCTTGATTATTTATCGGTACACCTATCTAGCTAAAAGATTCATTTTATATACTAGAGAATTAGTGAAACTTAACGAGTGTTGTTAAGTGTTTGCATTTGACGACCAGTTCTTTAAACATTAAGCCAACACAGCTTGCACAGTTGTCGAGTGTTCACATTTGAGCAGATGGTGTACTTCCGCAGGCATGCAAAATTGACGCGGATAAGATAAAATGAGCATGTACACATGGCATGGACTGAAGACAAGACTCTTTAAGAGTTTAAAAGTTACGCTCTTGTACTGCAGTGTGGTGCATTCCCTCAAGCGAGCAAATATTTTTTATATATTTTATGTCAAAAGTGAGCAAATTGGTGTTAGAATAATCTTAGCTAAAGTAAAATTTCTCGAAATTAAGTAACTATTTCTCTCCTTCAAAATGCTCTATTTTCTACGCGTAAAAGCAGACGCGGTTTTTTCAATCTCTACGTTTCTTGACTGGCCGAGTTTCAAACTTTGAATTAAGACTGAAGGTTGGTTAAAGTCCAACTGTTGCGATACATATGCCTGGGCTAATGTTGGATTTATTGCGAGCACAGGCGTGGAGTGAAACACACTCGACACCCACGGAATTAAGCACACTCGACTGCTATATCATCTATATCAACTGATTGGACTTTATTGCTTAAATCAAGGTTATTCATGATATACATAATGGCAGCCGTAATTTCACAGATGGCATGCAGCAAATACCTGAGCGCTCGCGTAGCAAACTTTTTAGTGTGTGGGGCTAAAGATGAACGCATAAGCTTTAGTTTTCAAGGAAGGAGGTAGGGGCATGCGTAGCCTAACAAATTTTTTTTCTGGAAAGGTGGGGTGGGGGGAGGGAGAGGAGGAGGGGCTGAAGTTTCCCTCTGCGCAGTCTCTGTACCTACATATGTCCTTCGGAACTTGGCTTTAATTGAAGCAAAAACCTTCTCTAAGCAAGTTGTTATAAGGATCAGAAAGTACGAACTACATTTCGATATTCCATGGGATACGTACTGGGAATATGTCGGAAAATAATAAAAGTTTACCTGATGTTAAATTGACAATTATACGTTCTGAAAAGATAGGTATTTAATGTTTGATGTAAAATAAGTGTAGTTAAAGGTTGCTTGTGTTCCTAACTTGTCCATTCAAAAAGAGTCATTTTGCATGGTGTAAATCAAAATAAAACCAAATGTGTGGTTTAGAGCCAATATCGTTCTTGATATAATCCATTTGCTTTGCTCGTTTTTCTCCTTCTTTGTAGTTGTCCAATGTTATGAAGTAAGGATGCATTCAGTAATAAGATGTGAAGAACAGCCATTGCTAAGGCAAAATAACATTAATTGGAAGGTGTCTTGATCGCTTATCGGTTTTTTCCAGAATTTGATTCGTATGTCATTCGGCCAGGACGAAAGTGTGTAAAAGGCATAAGGCATCACCGTTAATTAGAGTAAGTAAGCTCCTTCTTTTTAAGCAGTCGTGGTCTTGACAGGTGTCGTATATTGGTGTTGATTGCTGAGAAGTAGTACATGGTAGAGAAGCTGATGTGATCGATAGTTAATGTTTAAGAAGTGGAAAAAGAAGTAAATATAATATTATTTTAAGAAGTAAATATAATATATTTACTTATAATATTTTTACTTGGAAAGAAAATTATATCAAGAAAAAGAGTAGTAAATAGTTCAAAAGTGTAAAATCAAAAATAAACTAAACATCGAAGATGTGAATCAGATGCTGAAAATATATCGTTTGTAGTTTAATTTTGTAAAAAAATTGTTTTATTTCATGTAAACTTTCTATTCATTGATATCATAAGAAAAAGAAAGAAAAAAATGTTTTTCTTTTAGTAAAAAGAGATATGAAATAAATCAAACCAACTTCAGCCTAGTACATTATTGTTGTGAATGTCACAAGGAATCACTTCACATATGGAGAATCAACTGAGCAGGGGTGTTTCTGGTCCGGTACCAGACCCTTTGCCTAGTCCAAAGAAAAAGAAAAAGGAAAGACATTTTAGGTGCTGGAGAAGCGGTGGCCGATTCCAAAATAGAAAAGGTTTATTTCTCGATAACATTTGTAACGTGTGCGATGCATCGCGAAAGCAAAATTGTAAGGATGGAAACAGTTGTTGTGGGGATAGGTTTCAATAAAAATAGTCTAATAAATATTGTATAAGCTAGCTGATAATAAAAATAAAATCACTCTCGTTGAAAAGAAAATTGAGCGATAGCCTCCTGGCCGGGCGTGACTTATCCAGGGTAAAAAATGTTTCTGTTGCCGACAAAAAAAAAAAAACTTTTTCCAATTTAACTTACGCCACGATTGCGTGATCTCATGACGTAATAGTTTACGCCCGGAAAGGAGCATGGTTTCATTGTAAATATCATTCGGCTTCGAGTGACGATGTGTGTTAAAAATGTGGCATTGCAAAAATTTTGTCCTTGAAAGAGCTCGACGCAACCTCTGAGATGATTGGTACAATCTCCGGGATGTAAAGAGAGTATGAAATAGGGCTTATTTAGAGTAGATGAAGTTTAGTTCTTTTTTGACTCAGGAGTCAGAATTGCGAAGTATGGTCATGGTTATTTGGTGTGAGGTAAAGAAAACACTTCCCAAATGTGCATGTAATTGCTCAATGCTTTATTCTCAAACTATCTCTATAGTTCAACAGAAGCTTCTTGAAAATCCCTCCCGTCACCATTAATTTTTTTTGCTATTTTTCCTTTTTACGCGTAATGTTCTTGACTGAAGGAGATGGTTTTCCCAGCGGGTGACTACCAGCCTAGAAGGCTGTGCAGTAGGACGGTGGGTTTGGATCTTCATTCATGCAGTACTTGCTGCACACTGTACATTCTAACTTCTTTGTGCAGTCTTCTTGAGCTAGTTCGAAGCATGTATTTGTCTTGTCAAGGCAGGGACTCTACCAGGGAAAAGAAAGAAATAGGTTAAGTTAGGGCATGAAGCAGGAACTGACGTGTATGTACATATAGGTTCTTCCCTGTACCCTTGAAATGTGCCATAAAATACTTTTCCAAGGGAAATTTGAAAAAAATATTTTGAAGATATTTACTACCTACCGCTAGTAAATATAGTTATTTTCAGGTTGCTGATGTTTAAATAAGCGTAGCGGTCACTAGTTCATATATACCATCAACAGAAGAATTCTACCGTGACGCGAACTGCCCCAAGACTAAGTTAGATTGTATATTACTGGAAAACTATAGTATGTTTATCAGAGTAAGTCCAAGTCTTTTAGGTTGTTCAAGAATGGTGCTGAGTATATGATTATCATTTAACGATAATTTAATAGGCTGCTTACGAGAAACGTGCAACAAATTTTTGCGGCATTATCACAAAATTTTGAAGCTCTCAACAACGAAGAGAGAGACAGAGAGAGAGGATGGGGCAACCATTTTATTCATAATGGACTCACCATCTTTGGAGGAGGCGTGGAAGATTTCTCGGACGACAGGTCAGTTTTAAGACATCCTCCAAAATTCTTCATGCACTCCAATCGTTTACAGGCATCAGTGCCTGCGTCAAGTTCACATTCTCCGAATTTCTGTTCACAATCAGTCTGTAAATGGGAGCATGGTTAGCAGTGCTTTCATCTGGTAATTTTGATGAAATCTAACTGCAGTCATTTAAACAGAGACAGCGAGAATCAAGAATCATGTCCAAAACATATGAATTGACTTATTCCACTTCTAGGTAAGAGGTGCGCATCCAAACCCAGAGCTGTCGATCCAGGTTTGGTTTTGAAATCAGCAGTTGGTGCATCTTTCCTTTTTAATCTCCTCCATACTGAACTAACCTCGTCTCCCCCCCCCCCTTTTATCATCCTTTAGGTTTTTTCTCAACGTATTGACGTTCTATTTGATTTGGTTTGTTTTCAAGATGTTGGTGGATGAAAACTAGAGAGATACGGCGGGTTTGAGGCAATCAGTGACTTCATTGGTTCATTAACTATGCCCGATGTTATTTTTTAGCCCGATTTGAGCCCGCATTTTGAGAATTCTTTCTCAAAGACCACAACAGACACACGGGTGGTGTCTGGTTTATAGTGGCGACGCACAAAAAGAAAAAAGAATTGGAGAATAAGTAAAATAATTTTGAAAGATGTGTCCTAAATCCTTTTCATGGGAAAAAAAGAAAAGAAAACTGTTTTTTCGAAAGGAAGTCGAGAGCGGCACTTAAAACTGACCATTTAACTTACTATGAATGCAGGTTGGCTTGCTGGATCATCCTGGTTCTCTACACCCTTCAATCCCTCGATAAGCTTATCAACGTTTTCGTTAAAGAACT